GTTTGCCATGGAGGCTGTCCTGTGTACTACAAGATATTTAGCAGCATCCCTGGCCTCTACCTACTAGACGTCAGGAGCACCACCCCACTGTGCAACAGTTGTGACACCCAAAAATATCTCTAAACATTGCCAAATGTCCCTGGAAGTGGAGGTGGGAATCTCTGGTTGAAAACCACTGAAAGCTTTTCAAAATGCCAAGTCACCTGCAAGTGATAAGTAACTCAATTTCTACAGAGACTACCTCCACTTTGTATCTGCTGTGCTTTTCAGGACATAGTTGCTAGATGTGTCTTCAGATACCAACTGGGTTGTTTCCAGCAAGAAGATTACAGGCAATGCAATAGTTGTCCCTTATCCACAGGGGATGAATTGCAAGGCCCCTATTGCATGTCTAAAACTGCAAGTGGTACTGGACCTTATGTATACTATGTTTTTTATTTTCCTATATATTTCACAACAGTGGGCAGGAATTTCTTGCCGTTATCAACTCCTGCTTTTTTACCTGTAAAACAGGGATGATTTTGTGAATTTCCCTGTAAAGCGCAGGCTGAGCATTTGCCTTTGAGGTAGACTGGTTGGGTGGTTTCAGGTGAGTGACCTAACCTCCCTGTGCCTTACGTTTTTCACCTGTAAATGGTAATTCCAACAGTGCCTAATTCACAGGACTATTGTGAAGACTACATAAGGTAATGTGTAAAGGGCTCAGAACAGTGTCTGGCACATGCTAAGTGCTCCAGAAATGTTAGCTCCAGAATTTTGAAGGATGTCAGTTCTGGTAAGTGATGAACAAAGCACTGAAGTGGGACTACAAGTTTCCAATGTCACAGAACATGTCTACTTCATTCACCACTGCATCCTAAATGTCTAGTACAGTGCCTGGCACAAAGAATGCATTTTAAAAACATTCATTGAAAAAATATAGCAACGACCAGGGCTGAGGAAAACTGACTCCCAGGTTCTGCTCTGAACCTTGCTACTATCTACTGTGCATCTCACCCACTGCACCCAGCAGTGAGGTTTGGGAAAGCTGCTAATTCTAGATCTCTCTAATCTCCTATAAAACGAAGGGATGATGCATAAAAGCTATAAACCGTAGTGCTCTAAATGATAACCGACACGCTTAATTCTACTATACTTTTTAGGAAAAGGATTACAAAAACTTTGTAACAACATAATTTTTGCTTGAAAACAACAGTATAGAGATGCTACAAAGTTGTTGAATTATAGATTTCAAAAGAAATTTAGTGTTGATTGCTTCATCAAAAAGGGCAATAAAACTTGGCACTAATGCCATCACTCAGTGGTGTGCTACTTTTTCCCCAAGAGCTCTGTAGAGAGGGAAGGAAGATGAAGCTGAAGACAGAGAAATCAATGGTCCTGCTGTCAATATTAAGCCTTTCTTGGTTTTCCAATCCTTCTGGCTTGTATGTGAAAGGGAAAAGTTTGACTCACTTACAGGCAATGGAATCAAAGTGACTTAAGCTTTCAGAGTCTGTTTCTCTACCTATAAAATGGGATAGGATAACACCTACCCTCAATGAGAGTATCATGAGCATTACATGAAATAACTAGGCAAATGATCAAGAAAGAACACTTTCAATTAATTGAAGTTATTAATAGTATAATAATAATTGCAATTATTTACAACAGAACCATATCCCTACTAATAGCACTGAGAGTAATTCTTTGGCTGGGTATCACATAGTATATAAATTGTATTTTTTTTCCGAGATGGAGTTTCTGTTGTCCAGGCTGGAGTACAGATTGCAGTGGCGCGATCTTGGCTCACTGCAACCTCCACCTCCCAAGTTCAACTGATTCACTAGCCTCAGCCTTCCCAGTAGCTGGGATTACATACGTGCATCCCCATGCCCAACCAATTTTTGTGTTTTTAGTAGAGACAGGGATTCACCATGTTGGCCAGGCTGGCCTCAAACTCCTGACCTCAGTTGATCCACCTGCCTCAGCCTCCCAAGGTGCCAGGATTACAGGTGTGAGCCACTGTGCCTGGCCAGAAATGCTAATGCAGTATGCAAAGAGACATCAGACAAAGAAATGCATGCCAGCTAGGTAATCCTTTTTGTGGAAGAGCTAGATAAGAGATTAGGAGTGCTGAATGGTGAGTTGGGGAAAAATTAATGTTTAAAGTTAGAGAAACAGTTGGCTCAGAAAAAAAGAACATGAAAAAGCAGAATAGCAGAGTGGTTAAAGCACTGCCTAGGTGAGTCATCTATTTGTTTCTCCAGGTGGGAAAAAATGGAGATAGTAATACTGAACAGGATTGTTACAAAGGGTTAAAGAGTTAATATTCGTGAATGGCTTAGAACCACACCTGGAATATAGTAAATGCTATCTAAGAATCTGTTACATAGACTAGAGGAGTGATGATCATGGCTGAAGTGACAGAGAATGGCCTGTTAGGAAGCCTTTGTGGTAGAGACCAGCAAAGTGGCCTTCTAAGGGCACAACATGGAAGCTACCAGCTCTTTCATCCACTTCACACCCGGGCCCCTCCTCTGGGCAAGGTGAAGTGGCATGGCCATCAAGAGTCAATTCACCTTTGAGATGACAGAGATGGACCAGTGGCTGAGGCAGAAAAAAACCTCTGTTGACACTAGGGGTAACAGAAGTACGTGTATAGACAATATGCTATCCCTTCCTGTGGGCTCCCACAGTACTCCCTATGTATTTCACAGCATCCCAGTTAGACAGAGATCCCTGAGGGGGAGACCGAGTGCTGTTCACTGTGAAATGCTCCCTCCACAGTGCTCAGTAAGTATGTGTGGAAGTGAAGCCAAAGTGAGAAGTAATTACTGAGCCACTAAGCACTTGGACCCCTAACTGCTCCACACCCTATTTTCAACCCTCTATATTGCTCTAAATAGCTCACGGTCAATGTGTGGGAGAGGAGAGCTGTAATCCCAAAACTCAGCCTTCTTAGTAAAAATCGAGTCTTCTTTGTAGTGGTGGCCTGAACGTACCAGGTGGTAAAACAGGCTAAGAAGCCTTCTGATGGGGGGAATTTCCTCCAGCCTCTTTTTTCAGGCCATCCACAAATACCTCAAAGCTAGCAGAAACAAAACTGAACATAGGAGCTTTGCAAGTGAGCTGATCTTTTCTTCTTTCTCTATGGCCATCTATCAAATTCTCTTGTGCTTTCCTTGAGAACATCCTTCTCATACAGCCCTCTCTCTAATCTCTCTGCTTAACACCTTACAGGATCACACTGGGATTACCACCATAGGGCCTTACTGTGGTTCTGTCTACATTTCATTGCAAGACACAGCTTCCTAAAATACAGGTTTCATCATATTTCTTCCCTGTTCAAGATCTAGGCTCCTTATTCCTTACCTTTACCTAATCTACTTTGGTTATCAAGCTCCTCCATATTTGGGCCCTACCCTGCTTACGTGATGCACATATCGACTTACTAAGGCCTGCATGTAGAATATCCTGTTCTGTTTAATGACCTCACAGCACTCATCATTGTAGTTTTTCTCTCATTTAATCACATTTTCTAAAATGTCGGTTTCTTGTGCTTTGCCCATGTTGTTTCCCTTTTTGGAATAAATTAATCCTTCTTTTCTAGCTATTCAAGTACCAGCCCTTCAATTAACACTCGAAATCACCTGTGTGGCTTAGATAATATATAATTGTATTATCTTGTATTTCTATTACCTTGTGTTTCACTCTCTGTTGCCTATGTGTAGGCACAGTTGTTCCCTCCTCAAAAAAAAATTATAAATTCTTGAGAGCAGGGAGTTTATATTATTTTTGCTTGTTTGTCCAATAAGTAACACTGAGCTTCACTGCTGTGTCAGGCACTGCACTAGGCTTTGGGGTACAATGATAAACATGACAGATACAGTCCCTATCCTCACAGCATTTACATTCCAGTGTGTATGGGCATATGTGTGAAAGATATGAAAAGATTTATACATGCATAATTCAAAACTGAAGCACCATGAAGACAAAGTAGGGGGTGCTGAGAAATTATGACAAAGCTTCATATTGAAAGAAAATCTCCCTGAGCTGAGATCAAAAGGATAAAACAGAAATAAACAGGCAAACATCCAAAGGTCTCAAGAAGCCTGGAGTCTTAGGGGAACTGAGAAAAGGTCAGTATCCACAGCTGCCAAGGGCAGAAGATGAGCCATATGGGACAAGGCTACTGACGTGCAGGCTGGGTGTAGTTCCCGACACTGTACTAGAATCAAGAGGCACTTGTGAAGTGAAAGTAAACTTTAGGTGTTCCTTAGGAGTCATAATGCACGATGGCAAAGGTTATTTCTGAAATATTGTTGCTGTACATTTGATTTTCAAATAATGCTGAATACCCAAAGCTTAAAAAACATGAATACTTGTATACTTGTGTGCTTATGAATCCTCATTTCCCTGACCCAAATGTGACCAGTGAGGATGCAGGGCGAAGGAAATGGCCCTTTGAAAGGGCTCCATGTGACATTAATAAAGAGAGGATCTGCTGCTATCAGCTTCTGATTTTTGTCTTTCTCAAGTTCAATAAACAAGACATGGACCAATGACAACTATGACATGGACTGTGGTCCATTCCACATTACAAGTTAGATGCCAAAATGCTTTGCACAGGCCACCAAACAGATGGTAACGTATTTCAGCCAATACCGATGTGCGCAGGATTCAAACCAGTGACCCCAGAGGTGAGAGGTTGTATACCCAATTACAAATTCCCACTTTCCTTAAGTGTTAAGATGCCTAAAGCAATATATTTTATTTACATCAAGATGCACTGTATAAACTATATTTGATCAAAGAGATGACTTCACGTCCTCAACTTAAATCAAAGAATGCTTACTTAAGTATTTTTTTAATTGAATCAGACTTTAATGCCATCGTATAATCTTTTGGTTAACAGTGCTCATCTTGATTATTCTAACAAAGGGAAACATGGAAATTAATACTTACGTTGTAGAGCTTATGTCATCTATAAAAATTCACATTAGAAAATTCAACAGAGGTACCTGGGACATCTGTGAAGGTTTCTCCAAGGATTGAGACATGGAAATTGAGTCCTAAGTCCTTAAGATGCATTAATACCTTAAAAAAGCTTTCTGGATCTTTATCATGCTCCCTGAAAATAAACACACAAAATATAACTTGTGTTACCTTAGGGCATGTGTTAGGAAAAGTGATTTCACATCTTACAGTTTCATTTTTTTTCATGGTCTATTGCTGGTTGGGGAGCCTATGGTATCCAAGCAGAGATTTCTTCCTATAACCTCACACTGTAACATCAGCAGAGTTTTCATGTCCACAAACTTGTCTCTTATGATCAGAACCTACTCCTATTGACGTTTTAAGGCTCTGCAGCCTTAAAGGAGAAAGTCTGCCTTTTCACATCTTAAGGTTAGACTATAGAAAGCATAGTGTATTTTGCTTTTCCCTAAAATGGTTAATTTTCTACTTAACAGAGGATAAAAATAAACTTTTTTTTTTTTTAAATTTAAGAAAAGACCAATCTTCAAAGGCTGACTCTCTACTGATCATGAGAATGTACCAAAGATGCCTTTTCATTTCCATAGGTCTGAATACCTTCCTCTCACATTTACTGAGCTCCTTTGTGCCTACAAGGAACACACAATTTAGGGAGATTAGAGACCCTCTCACTAATCTCTCATTTTAAATAATTGAATGGAGAATTATAAATACATCAAAAGGGGGTAGGTCTGGGTCTATGTCCGCTGGGTATTAACTTAGGAGTGGAGTTACGCAACATATAAAAGAATAGTAATAAAGATAATTCTTTCATTTAGTAGAGGCTTTGGAACACATGGATTATTTTTGTTTGTTTAGCTTGTGAGTCTTCTTTGTAAATGACAGAATGAGAGGCTAAAGGACATTAAAGTTTTTTAAAATTCTACAATTCAACAAATCACATAAAAATAAAATGAGTTTTTTTTTTTTTTAACATTCTAAGGTGTGAATATTTCAGTATTTCTTGCATTTAATTACACTGTTTTAAATTATCTTATTTCAGACAGATGTGGACCAGATGTCTTCAAAATATTTGGTTTTTATTTGTAATTCAGAATTTTAACTTCTTTTTTACATTATGGAAAAATATTATATATCAGCAATTGAATTTCTCATTTACTAATTATGTAAAATAAATCTGTAAATTGATCAAACTGCTATATGGAATATGAAAATTACATCATTCAGAAAATCTCATAAAAAATGACATCTGCAACCCTAAATGTGTTAATTCACAATTCAGTCAATATTTTCAGTATCATGAATTAAAACAAATGTATCTTCTAATTAACATTTTAAAACAGCATTTATAATCTTATGAAATTGGTAAGATCTTATAGAATTAGAGTTCTATAACCATTTATTTTAAGCTCTATATGTCTCAGTTTGATTTAGTTCAAACAATAAAGAATGCAAAGACAAAATGTTCATTGCTTTTTAAGATGATGCGTAATACATACACGTAACATTGGGAAGTTTCTGGATAGTTCTCATATGTACTACTGCTATGGGAAAGAACAAAGACTCAAAACAATTTGAAAGTAAAGAATATGCCATATGCCATCTTTAACCACATCAATCAAATAGCTGCCACCTAATCTATAAAATGTCCTTTTAGTCTGATTCTCTAGGAAATACTTAGATGAAAAGGTTAGAAATAATATAACATAATACATCTTAAAGAGGGAGTAACACCATAGGGAAATGTAGCCATTGAGTTCTCTAATTTTTTCATATTGAGTTCAAAAATTTTGGCTATGGATACCTAAGAGACCATATATTCTAACTATTTCTCTTTTTTTTTGGTATTAAAGTAAAAGTAGATGAGGTTTGGAATTGGGAGTAGGTTTAATCGGGTAGAGCTGTAGTTCTTAAAAGATTCCAATGTGAATATTTTCAAAGCAGCTGGCTTTATAAACCTCTATTTTCAGTGTTTTTATACAAGATAAATGCATTACAATCCTGCTGTATTCTTTAGCTATTTCCTATAGGTGGACAAAAGCTTTCATATTCAATAGTTACTTTGCATAAGAACACAAAAGAGATTTGTGTGAATCCCCTCTTTTTGTTTAAACCATAATATATGGCCAAATGTAAGGTGAGATTTTTCTTTCCCAAAGTTATCCCTCAGAAAAAGAGGCATTTTATATTAAAGTCCTTATAAAGTCATCTCATAATACCAGGCACTCTCTCAATTACTTTATTTTAAACAAAGTACTGTTTAGGGAGCATGGATTAGCCCGAAACAACTGATGAGAGTTTTGGATGGTTTTAGCAATTATTCTTTTGATGGGACTGGTAAAAACAGAAGCAAAGGAATTTAATATTGAGTTGGTAATTATTTTGAGAGACATGACCTAACAATTCTAAGTGCTGGATATTGTTGAAAACAAGTATTTTAAAGGTCACTAAGAAAAGTAATAGAGTTAAGTGGTTACTGGAGATAAGTAGCAAGTGGGGCTTTTTTTCTTTCTTTTTTTATAATTGGGGAAAAATTTTCCATCATACACAGTTTCACAAAGTCCCGCACCCCAAACTACTCAGACTTAATTCCAGATGACAGGTGGTGAAAACAGGCCAGCTGCCTGAAGAGGTGCCACCATTATAAAGTCAAGAATGCATGGAAGGGGGATCAAAACTGCTTCGTGAAATATAAGGGTGGGAAGAGAGCAATACTGCTAAAAATTATTACTTATAGTATGCATTTTAAAGTATTTTATGTCTAAATTACATATTATAAATATACAAGTTTATTTCATCTATGTCATGCAAACTTTAATATAATCAATTTAGTTGTAAAAATTTTGGGGTTTTCTTTTTAGAAAAATGGGAAATCGCCTAACTTCCAATTATTAAAGATGTGTATAAATATTTGGCTACAGCCATATATCAAAGCAGGATAATATTCAATGGCAGAGCTCAATCTATTTTGTTTAGTAAAGAACTCATTCTAGCTATCCAATGGATCATCCGTAGATTTTACCCCAGAGCCTATGACAATAATGAACCCATTGAGAATATGTGAATTTGTCTTAAATTTCTTTCTAGAAAACTTAATGTGAAACTCTCATACATATCATTTTAGAATAAAGTATTAAATACATAGAATGTGGGATTTAAAGATAATATACTGAGTGCCCCTTTCTGCTAACAGCTATCAATATTAAACATACATACAATAGTATGTCCAATTCACTACAACCATATTTGTAGATTTATGGGCTCCTAAACACTCTTATTCTCATCCATTGCTGGTAGAAATGTAAATTGAAACAATCGTTTAAAGGATAATTTGATAATGCAAATAATAAGCCTTAAAATATATGTAACTTTTACCCAAGTAATTGCAATTTAGAAAAGTTATTCTATAAAATAATTAAAGATGTGCACAGAAATTCAGCTAGAGTATGTTCACAGCAACATTGTTTATAATGGCAACCATCTGTAAATGACCTACTGGAATGATAAGTAAATGTATTTTGACACACATATATGATGCAATACCATGTAGCCATTAAAAATAATGTTGCATAAATATACTTCTTGAAGTAGAAAAGTATTCAAGAAATACTGTTAAGTAAAAGGAAGATGACAGAGTAGCATGATCTGTATGATCTGTTTTTCTAACACAAATGAATGTATATATCTAGGAAAAAGTTTGGGATAGGTATATCAAAAGTTAACAGAAATTATCTTTAGGGGTTGTTATGTTTCTTTTTTTCTTTTGGCATGTTTTCTACTTTTTCTTTAATAAACATTTTTATAGAAGTCATTTTAATGCTTTTAAGAAATTATCCATCTCTAATATTCCACCATAAAATTACTAGATTTTTTGCTTAGCCCCAACATTTCCAGTATTTACAGCAGCATAATCCTTCCTTTCCTATGACCCCTATACATCTGACAGCTGCCAATCAAGACAAGTACCCAGTACCTAGCTGAGTAATGGTAGCTATTACTTGTTTTGTTTACTACTAAGTATCCAGTACCTAGCTGAGTAATGGTAGCTATTACTTGTGTTCATCAATATCCATTCATTCTCTCTTTCTGCCAATCATGCCAATTTAGCCTTCACAACATATTCCAGAAGATAAGTCAGGGTCCAAGCTTCCCAACAATTTCAATACTCTTGAGTAGTAAGAATGAAACTGTCTGGCTGTGAATTCATTCCTCTGCACCACCATTATGGCAGAAGAGACCAGCGCAGAAATATTTCAAGCTTACTGGAAGCAGTAGATACAGCAAGAACAGCTTTTATTCCCAAATATTATTCAGAACATTTGAAAAGCATAAACTGTTTCCATGTGTTTTTTTATTCCTATATCTGTTCTCTCTGTGTTGCCTTTCCAGTTTAGTTTCTTAGAGCTAAATTTCTTCTTATTCGTCACTTAACATTCATTCAGTAAATATTTATTGAGGATTTCTAAGTTCTCCACTTACACTGAACTGTTATCCTTTCTTATTTTTCCATTAACTTTATACATATTGGATACAATCTCTTTAGTTTCTTCTCTTGCTTGGACGGAACACTGGCTCTTTATGAATGCTATAGTGTTCCCAAGAGCATGCCACTCTGGCTTGAGAGCTCCATGAAGAAAGGATAAATGTTATTTGTTTTGTTTACTACTAAGTACCCAGTACCTAGCTGAGTAATGGTAGCTATTACTTGTGTTCATCAATATCCATTCATTCTCTCTTTCTAAGCACACAGAAGACTCCATCTTCATCTTCTTTCATTAGTATAAGGACACATGAGTAGTTCTGGTCAATGGACTGATATATGCCACTTTCAGACAAAATATCTAAAAGCAGTTCTGGCTATATCTTTCCCTGCTGTGGTAGACCTTAAGACGTCTTATGTTAAGAGGATTAGTTTTAAAGAGTGATGCCGTCTGGGCTGCCACATGGAGGAGAGTTGCCCTGTAAAGCCACCTAAACATGCAGCAGACTTTGAGTAGGTGAGAGAAATGTACTTTCATTGGGTTTAAGCAACTGAGATTTGGGGTGGGAGAGTGTCTTCATTACTGCAGCATAATGTGGCCTATCCTAACACATTATCTGTGGCATAAAATTAGCTTCTCTATAAATATTTGTTGA